TATACAAATTAGCTTAAAATAGTTGCAGCAGTTAATTTCACTGTAGCACAAGAATGAGTGTCTGAAAGAAATTGGATAACTGTATTCACAATATATTGTATGCGTGTCAATTTACATTCAGTTAATATTTATTCCCTGGATAAGTATGCAAATGATTGCAAACACAGATTGCAAAATCTTCATTATAGTGTAGGCTAAACTTCATGTATGAAATTTCAATGCTTAATTTGTTTGTTTGTAACCAGCCCTACTACAAGAATTTGGAAAAGTTTTCTGTGTGCTGTAAAACCAGTTTTATGGTATTTTTAGTTAACTGAGAATTTTTTAAAGGAATTTTGAAACATTTTGGTGCACCTTAAGTCATTCTGTTACGTCACAAACTCTGCAACATAGCGAGGGTAGGACCTAGCTATGAGCCAGTGAGCTTTATACCTGAACACTGCCATATTGTCCTTCAGAATTTCAAGACTCCAGAATTTCCATCCCAAATTGGGAATGAATCTTCCCTAGCATCAAGCTCTTCTGAAGATGGCCCTTGAGGATTAGCAAACTGGCAAATCTCATTTGTTTAATAAAGACTTTTTCAATTGTAAAGGTGATCGGATGGTAAGAACAGTACCATGACTTTGCCCTTTAACTTCAGAAATTGAATGAACTGTTTTTATCTCAGAAACATGAAATGTATTACATTTTGCGCTTCCAGTTCTCGTGAATAAATATTTGATTCAAAGCAGGTTAGGATGCTTGAGAGGGTGAACTCCAGAAGAGTATACTGTACTTGTTGCTTCCACTTCTTGACAGTTGTCAATGATGTTCAGATTCATTTCTGTTTTTGTAAAGGCTTTTAAAGTACTTCAAACTTTTAGCTTTGAGTATCACAGAAGCTGCTTTTGTTTGCCTTGTATAAGTCCATTGTTAAGAACTTGGGGATTGATTTAATTCTGTTTTGGCTCATAGGCATACTTTTCTCCCATAGCTAGGTTCTCTAGAACAGGGATTGTCAACCTTTTGGACCTCAGGGACCACCAAATTCATAATTTTAAATCCCGTGAACCACTAATATGAATTTTGACTGACAGTGGCTTGCTGATGTTGGTGGGAAAGTCAGTCCTATATTCTAGAACTGCAGTAGTCACAGGACTGGCCTGTGCACCGGCCTGCCATGGATGAGCTGCTCCAAGATGACCAAAGTGGCAGGGGAAACCTGGAGCTTAGCCTCGGGGAGTCCTCTTGTGTGGAGGCCGAAGGGGTGGTGGTGTCGAGCCCAGAAAAGCTCGAGCTCTCGCCTGCACAAACAGCGACAAGGCAAACTATGGGGCTTCCAAGATGCTCAGCTCAACCCAACCTGGAGTTCTTGTTGATCCCGCAAAAGCCGGCAGCGAAGGTTGGATGCCCAGACCAAAAGAGCACTGAGGAAGACAGGCTCCTAATAACCAGGCAATAACCCCTCCTCTTCGGCCTCCATGCAAGAGGACTCCCCAAGGCTAAGCTCCAGGTTTCTCCCACTGCTTTCAAGCAGCGAAGAGTCCCTCCAGGCCTCAAAGCCTCTCCCAGGAGCGTGCGCGTGCTGGACTCTCCCCACGGGGGTGAGGGCATTTCCCGAGGAGGCCCCTACCCACTTACCCATCCACCAGCAGGAAGCACAGGTCAGAGGAAGAGGAAGGGGCTCTGGATACCTGGCCATTGCGCTGCATCCCACCCGTAGCAGAGCAGAGCACCGAGAGGGACGAGAAAACTGTCAGTGCCGATGCCCCCACCGCCCCCGTCCCATTCCGGGCCTCCGAACTGGATGATGAGCACAGACTTCCCCACTTGGCCACCTCCCACCACCACCAGCCGGTACTTTTCCTGCCCCGGGCTGTCCCTATAGTCCGCAGCCATTGAGGAACCGCTTCAGTCCACCTGTGCTGCCAACCCCCTCTTGCTACAACAGCACCATTACCTTGTCCTGGCTGGCGAGGGCTGCACTGCTTTTTGCACATTGCACCACCTGCAAATGTGCACATTTCAGGTGACAGCCCCTATGGCAGAGATTTCCAACCCCACCATGGGCTAGTCCCATATTCCAGAGCTGCAGTAATCACAAGACTGGCTCTTTGGTCATCCCAGAGCAGCTCATCCATGGCAGGCCGGTGCACAGGCCAGTCCACTACTGCAGCTCTGGAATATGGGACCGACTTTCCCACCAGTGTCAGCAAGTCACCCCGGGGCAGATTTCCTTCCCCAGCTGTTGGTCTAACCTTCCAGTTCCAACTCACGTGGCTGTACTCAAGGTAAGGTTTGTGCTTGACCAAGGGGTGGGGGCCAGCGGGTGGGCAGGACATGTGGGCGGCACAGTCTTGTGTTTCTGTGGGCCATGTGGTGGCACAGCCTTGTGTTCCCGCGCAGCCTGGTTTAATTGCTTTGGGGGGGACATTTCTCTGCAGACCACTAACATTTTATCGCAGCCCACCAGTGGTCCGCAGTCCACCAGTAGGTAACCACTGCTCTGGAGCTCAGAAATATGTCAAAGCCATTTCTCGCAGTGCTGTTTCCTCTTACAAAAATCCATCTTGCATTTTCACCACTGTGTTTCTTTTTTTGTTGTTGTTGCTTATTGGCATAGTATATTTCATATTTCGTACTCATTACTCTTTGGGGAGGACTTTCATACTGTGGAATAATTTTGTGTTTTAAAAATACTTTGGTAATTTTAGAAAACCAGATTCTGTTGAGATCTTTTGTGATTCGATGCAAAATCAGTGTCTGGCTTATTCATTTAATTATGTTAGATTTATATCACTCCTTTCTTTGTGAATTCCAGGTAGTATACCTAGCTTTACTCTAGGCGCAAAGCCAGAATAAATTAAGCTTTCTTTTCTGCTTCTCCAGACTATGTGGTACCCTCCATTTTTATTGCACTTCAAGTTTTATAATCCACAGTTAAAATGACCAATAATTACAGAGTCTATGAAGTGTAATCTAAAACACTTGGAGAGCATAAAGTGGTTTGCCCCTGTTGTACTTCTTTGGTGTTGAGACCTCTTGAAGAACAGTAATTCAAATTAAGTATCTGTGTAAAGGAAGCACAAGAAGCAAGCTACTTGTTGTATCTCTGATTAATGAGGTCCTGTCTTAGTGTCAGCTCCTCCTATTAAAGCAATTGAACAAGTAGTTGAACTAGGTTTTTAGGCTAAGGGTTATTCATAATTTTTCATTGCCTTGCCAGGAGCTGCACTGCCAAGAAGTAGTACAAGAGAAAAGAAGTAGTGAGTGTGAACAAAATAAAATATTAAATTTAAATTCAATTAGATTTCAATCAAAATCATTTAATATGGTTATTTAATTATTTTCTTGCTTAAGTAGATTTTAGTTGCAACTCTGAGAGAAATTATGTGAATTGTACCCAAAACTGTGGACTCCATATGTTATCCAAACATGTATATTGCAGTGCTTAATCAACTTTAGCTGATCTCAAAAAGTTAAGCAGGTTCAAACTTGGATAGTACTAGAGTGGGAGCCCACCAGACATTGTATGCATTCCAAGTGTAAAAGAAAGCTAACTCTACTCCTGAATTTATGATAGTTTACTTTTCATCTTAACCTGTCACTTTTTAATTTTTATTACTGGCGCAGAAAAGCATGCTTTTGCAAAGAGCTTAAATTTGCCAGAGCCACTGCTGTCTTCATAAACTGTTTGTATTATTGAGTAGATTGAACAAGTTGCTGATGAAAGAGTTCTTGTAGATTTGCAGAAAGCTTAAATGGATGAAGCAATTTCTCTGAGATATTCAGAAACTGCAATATTTCTAAGAGGAAGTTGATATTGGCACATGAAGCACTTTTTTTTTTTAACATGCCACAACTTCTCCTTTCAAGGATTTTATAAGCATTGTTCACACCTTAGTAAACTATAGGAGAGATTGAAGTTGTGGTGGCATGCAGGTGTCCATCCATCCATCCATCCGCTCTGACCAAGGCTTCCTGAGACCACAGTTAGGAACACGCTTAGTCAAAATAACTCTTGTTTTATTTCAATGCTGGAAATTATGTTCATTCCCAGCCCATGAGTCCCAAACAGTCCCTCAAGATAAGCATCCACCTTTGTCTCCTTTGAATTGCTGCCAGCAACTAAAGTGCCAAATTAACTGAAAAAAAACCAACCGAAGTACAAAGTCCACACAGAGCTTCATGCTTTAATCCAAACAGAGTGAACGACTTTGCTTCCTGCAAAGGTTTCTCTACCTTTGCACCTCCTTTATATCTTAGGGGAGGGGCAGTCACCTCCAAGCCTTACTCCCGAGTCACCCCTTTTGTCTCAGCTGGTCTTGCGTTCTAGCAGCTTTGCGTACATGCACACTCGGAACAGGCTTCCCTTGTTCCTCCACCTCGCTGCTGCCAGCAAGCACACCACTCCCAGATGGTCCTGCCCCATCTCTGCATTGGACACAGGATCCTTGTCTGAGTCCTCTCCAGACTCCTGGACTGGTCCATTCTTCCTCACTGCCTGATTCCACTGCTGTCTGCACAGGCTGCCGACGAATCACAACACCATCCATCCATCTAAGTGCATTCAGAATCTTTGAAAAAAGTGTTGAGCCACCTGAAGCCCGTTTTTTGTGCTTAAATGTTTCCTCCTTACCAATATTTCATTGAAATTTGTTTCAATTTTATGTTCTACTAGCATCAGAATTCTAGCAGTATGTAGTATAATGCTATGGTATGTGCATCTTTGCGTTTAGCTTTTTACTCATTTGTCCCCAAAATTAGTAGCCCTGTTTTTGAAGTATCAAAAGTTTTCAGCGTTTTCGTAGAATCGTTTTCCAGTTAGCTTTTGGATGACCTAATGAGTTGAACTTTGCCCATCATGTCCATTTTGGATATGGGCTTGTTTCTTCTTTCCATCCAAAAAGTAAGAACTGCAGGGTGTGGTCACCAGCTTACTTAGGATGAAGGATAATATGACAAGGGGAAGTTGATGCCAGTCATCTTCCCTCCCACTGTATTTATCCTCTTTGCAGGCAAATGAGGCTAGACTTCCTTACACCACTTAATTAACCAGGCACTTCTGATCAATTCCTTTGGCACCATCTGTTCATTAAAGGATGCCGAGAAGAAGGTGAAGAAAATGGTACATGATTATATAATAATGAATGCCTTTGAAGAAATGATGCTTAATTTGTCATTTGTCAAAACTTTTGTTCACGCACACACACACACACACACACACACACACATACACACACAGAGTGGTGCTTAAAAATTTGTGAACCTTTTTGAAATTTCAATATTTTTGCATAAGTATGACGTAAAATGTGATTTGTTCTCTACACAAGTCCTTAAAGCAAGATAAAGAGAATTTTAAAAAAATGAGTCCCAAACTTTACACCTATCGATTTGTTTAATTGAGAAAAATGTGTGGCAAAGTACGTGAACTTTTTACCCTCACTGTATTTGTAGGTGGGCTTGTGTGTTTGTGTGTGTCTCTCTCTGTCTATGTAACACCCATCAGCAATGTGAACTAAACCAAATCTTTATCAGAGAAGGAGCTTACTATCAGAGCAACTGGGACTCATTTGTTAATAGCTTTTACAAATAATCTTATTAAGGATTCAGCCAAGTGTGGTAAAATGCTTGAAAAGTGCATTGATGCATACATACAGATGTATTGTAACAAAGATACAATCTACAGGTAGTTCTCGACTTACAATAGTTCTTTTAGTGACCATTCAAAGTTACAACAGCACTGAACAAGTGACTCATGACCATTTTTTGGAAGCATCCTCATGATCATGTAATCAAAATTCAGCTGTTTGGCAGCTGGTTCGTACTTAATGACCGCTGTTGTATTCTAAGATCATGTGATCCCCTTTTGCAACCTAGGTTACCAACTGATCAACTGCAGTGATTCACTTAACAACTCTGGCAAGAAAGGTCATAAAATGGGGCAAAACTCACTTAACAAATGCCTTATTTAACAACATAATTTTTGGGCTCAGTTGTGGTCTTAAGTCGAGGATTACCTGTATAATAAAGAACTGCAGCAGGTGATTTCTTCACAGTAAAGTACCTTAACCCTTGATCATTTCAGCAGAGGGGCCCATAGTCAGTCCAAGCTCCATTATCCTTTTATGATAGAGGATTTTTGAAAATTATTGGTCCCATATATTTTTAAGTATTTACATACAGCACATAATGAACAATGCAAGTCCATGAGTGGTGCCTTTTTGTTGGATAAATAGACACCCAACTAAAAATATTAATCATGTTGTGATTAATATTAATCAACTTGTGCAAGGGTCTTCAAACTTGGCAAGTTTAAGACTTGTGGATTTCAACTCCCAGAATTCCTGAGCTAACATGCCTGGAGGAGGAATTCTGGGAGTTGAAGTCCACAAGTCTTAAAGCTGTCAAGTTTGAAGACCCCTGATCTTGTGTATATCCTGCATATCCAATGACTGATGAAAGGCAGAACTGGAAGATCTATGAAATCTTGTAGACTTTGAAGACAAATCATTTCTTTCATTTAGAGAGGACAATAATTTTGGAGGCTATTTGAGTATACTTTGGCTAATTGTGCTTGATTGCAGTTCATTCTGTAGATTTGGGCTTTATTTTGACAGAATTAAGGAAACATTGAAAAATCCTCTTAAGATCCTTCTTACATACCTGGTCTTGGATCTTGTTTGTGAAATTTTGATCAGGCTACTGACCAAAAGGCTATTATGTGTATAGGAGCTGGAGAAGTGATAGAAAGCACACAATATTTGCAAAAAATACCTTCCCCTTACCTTTCAAAACTGTGGTTGACAAGTTGGAGCTGTAAGTTAAAGCTAGTTCCTAAACTTGTTCAGAAACAGCCTTTGTATCCAGGAAAAAGTAAACAGCCCTTTCTATGGGCCTCCCATTTATTACTGACTCTCATTATTAGTTAATAGTTTTATTAGCCCTTGAGTACCTCTTTTAAACCATTTTAAGCAATTACGGTCAAGTGCTATGCTGTTGTTTGCTCATTTTGATTTTAAATATTGTTTTGCATAGAGCTGAATTTGTGTTTGTTTTTTCTGTGAGAAAATGAATGGGACTATAAACGTGAGAGTACATTTTGGTAGCATAGATAAATTATTTAGCTTGATACAAGAAATATATTTAGACCTTTAAATACTGGGATGAAGTAGCATCATATGGATCTTGGGTGATGTTTTACTGAATGCGCTACTTTACATAACAAAATGTCCTGGCTTTTTGATATCAAAGTTAGGTCAAAATCTACTAGATTTTAAGCTGACAAAAGTTTAATAGAAAAACATCAGTGTTCTCATTTCTGTCACCCTGTGGTGGTAGGAAGAATGACATCAGTTTTATTTAGCAATATTTAATTCAGACTAGTTTACAGCCACTGATTTCTAGTAGAAATTAATCATTTTCATTGTAAAAACAAATATTTGTTCATTTAATATTTGTCTATTAATAAATGCTGTTGAATTTTATTCAATGTATTCTAAGTAACTACAGTGTTAATTTTAAGATTCGTTTTTCTACTTTTCAGGTCTCTGGATGGCAGACTCTGAAAAGAAATGCTGTTTTAAGAGGTATGCTTAGAGCAAGATAATACTTTTCCTCAGTATGTGAAGAGCATTTTTTTCTGATTGAATTCTACAACTTGCTTTAAGTACATATACAATGATTTAAAATATGTTCTGAATTTTTTTTTTAAACTAGGTGTTCTGAAAAAGCCTTGACACCTTTTTGAGATCTAGTTAGAACTTAGAGTGTTTTTTCTTTAGGGAATGTTTATTTTTGGTATATAAAAGAATCATTGCTGCAGTTTCACCAATACGGCTACAATATTTCTAACGTGAACATCCTGTTTTTTCCAGGCCAGGTTTAAGCTGTTTTTATATTGGCTTCAAGTGTTACAGTGTGAAACTGTATTGAAACTAAAAAGAAATCATTTCACTGTTTTAATCATAATATTTGAGGTGTGAAAGTGTTTCAGTTGAACTACTAAAACCTATTTAAATGTAAATCACAGAAGAATATTTGAATTTTCCCATATCACTTATCCTGCTAATAGGAATTAGGGAATTCCTGTTAGTGGCAAGTGCTCTTTCATGCTACTGATTTTGACATGTCGCACAAAGTTTAACAAGCAAGCTTTTTAGTAGTTACATTAGTCACTGGAGGAACAGTATTCAAAGTAATGTAATGGTTAACAAGAAATACTAGATAAATCTATGGGGAAATTGGAACACTTAATAAATCTATTGGAAAATTTCTTCATTTCCCATGCAGATCAAGTGAAAAGTTCAGCTGCATTCAATGTCGACACACTTCTGAAGGAGCCTTCTGCAGAAACTGTTGAAAAGGAAGTTACTCCAAGCTACTAGTCACACAAAGTGATTCATAAAGCAATGGGGTATACAGTCAACTCTGTGGGTGGGCATTCAGCTTGTAGAACCTTTCAAAATATAGTGCATGTTCTTTCCTGTAGCTATAATTTGGGAATTAGTGAACCCACAGACGATCTACCAGCTTGGGATTGGTCACTAATATTTTAGAAGTAGTATTTTGGTAACTGCATTTACACAAATGTGCAAGCCACAGATGTGTAAAATAATTGCTACTGTCTCATTTTCATGCTACTGTCTCATTTTCATGTAAAATGCCCATCTTTACACAGCTGGTGAAAAATGGAAGAGGCGGAGATTTTACTATGATTTAGAAATAAAAGAAGGAAGTTACTAGAATTTTACCCAGAACTATGCAAATCAATAAAATGTTGTAGGTGTGTGTGTGTGTGTGTGTGTGTGTACACACACATACACACATACACATACATATATATCCCTCTTCACCCAAGTACCCATCAAAGAAGCCTTGACAGCCATCCAAAACAAATACAACCCTCCCAAACACATCCTAGATCTGACCAACCACTGCCTAACCAATGCATACTTCATCCACAATGGACAAAGATGCAAACAGATAGAAGGAGCACCCATGGGATCACCCCTCTCACCCGTCATTGCTAACCTATACATGGAACACTTTGAAACCAAATCTCTAGACAAATTCGAACACAAACACAAACTCTGGCTCAGATATGTAGATGACACTTTCGTAATTTGGCCACACGGGAAAGAAAAACTGGACAATTTCCTCACACATCTTAACAACCTACACTCCAAAATACAATTCACCATAGAAACAAAAACCAACAACCAACTTCCCTTCCTGGACGTCCTAATTTACAAAAAACCCAATGGCTCCCTAGGACACACCATCTATAAAAAAAAAAAAAAACACCAACTGCTACCTAAATGCACAATCCCATCACCACCCTGCACAGATCAACTCCATAGCCAAGACCCTCATCTCCAGAACCAAACGCCTAGCTGACAAAGTCTTTTTTTTTGTAAATTTTATTTGAGTTTTCACAAAGAGAAAAAAAAATACAAATAAAACATGTTTTTTGAAAGCAGCATAATCCCGGGTTACATTTCTTCATACAGACACAAATTCAGGTTCATGCTCATTTTTATATTCTATTCCATATCTTATTACTATTTTACATTTTCTGCATAGCTTCTCCCCTCTTTTAATTTTCTCAATTTTATTTTAATTTTCTCATCTCAATTCAAATCATTGTATTTATATTTTTTTGTCTGTCCTGTTTCAGTTATTATCTTTTCTCATTAAACAAAATTTCTCCTGTAGTTACTGATTGGAATATGACGCCTTTATATCTTTTCCCTAAAGTTGTAACATTCAATATAATACATAACTTCCATTCGGATTCTGCTTGGTACATTCTTCAAATACACACTGTATTCTTAAAAAAAGAAAAAATATAAATGTATATAATTAAAACAACATTCCATTCCAATTCAATTCTATTATTAATATTAATATTCATTAAAGTTTTTACATCTTTAACATTACTTTTCAATTAAATATCATACTTCTATGGGAACAATTATAAGCTTTCCATAGTTAATCCCCCGCCTTCACTTATATTTTATAAAATATTAACTAATTAAAATGTTCCCGTTACTTCCTAATTCAATTTTCTCATTTATTTTATTTCACTTATTTTATTCACAAACATTTCACTAAATTACACTATTTTATCCCTCATTTTAATCAAACATTGTTTCCAATTTTCTAAAGTTACTAATTACTATTACTAATATAACAATACAATCTTATGTACCTTTACAGAATCCCTTTTTCAGTTAGATTTTCACCCATTATCTCTAAATAGGTCCTGTTTCTCTATATCTTGCTCCGGTCCTTTGTAACTTTGTTTCCTTTCCTTCTTCCCTCTCTTCTTCTCTCTCCCCTTTTTACCCCCTTGTCTCTCTACCTCTACTTCACTCTTCTGTATTCCTCTTTTCTGTTGCTTTCCAGTATTATACTTATTTTTTGAATTATTTTTCTTTTCTTTGATTGTTTTTTTAAGTCTTAAATTCTCCATTCTCTTTCCCCCCTTTCCTTTTTCTTCCCCACATAGAATTGCTTGTTCATTAAAGATGGCTTCTTCTTTGTCCCAGTTTTCTTGTTTTGCAGTCTTGTTGTTTCTCATAGTTCCAAATCTCCATTTCTAAGAATTGAAAAACGAAGCCAAAAGAACCCTTCCCTTCTTGTGCATCGTCTTTGTACTTTTTAAGTTCTATTTTCAATTCATCCAGAAGTGGTGCCATTGTATAAATTTTTAAACAACCACCCGATTGATTTTAGTCATTCAAATATAATAACCAAAAATCCAAAGATCACCAAATAATCCAAATACACGCAAGCTGTTTCTTTTTTGCTCTTTTTCTTCTTCTTCACTTTCTCTTCCTGGGGTTACTATTTAGTTGCAAAGTTTCAGTTAAAAGGTATCTTTTAGAAACCTTGTTGAAGTTTTACTTTAGATTCTTTTTAATTCCAGGCAGTTTCCTCCCTCTTCCAGATCCTGCCCTTATTCTTTTTCTCTCCCTTCCTGCTTATGAAAAAGAAAGTTTTTAATGTCCAGAAATCTTTATTATCCCTTTGGCATTTTGTTTTATTTTCAGCTTAATTGCCTATTGATGTCAAAGCGGATTTTTCCAATTTCTTATTTAAGTCTCTTAGTTGTCAGTATAGGGAAGGAGAGAGAAGGAAAAAAAAAGCCAAACCTTTCCCTTTTCACTTTCCTTCGCTGCTTCCGACTCTTCTTTGGGAGCGATGTTATTTTTTTATAAGTTTAAATTCTAGGGTACCTTGGTTGTTGCTTTTACAATTTAACCAGTCAGCCAAAACTTTTACTTCTTATCTTCCTCCTGGACATTCTTTTCCAGTTGAGTTCTTCTTTGTGGTGGCCATTTCTGACCACCGCAGCAACCGCCTTTGGGAAAGGGAGTAATGGCCAGCTGAGGAGGAGTGATGCGGCTCTCCTCAACCCTGCTGGCGGTCTCCCCCCTCTTCACCACCTCTACGGGGTGGCTTAGCCTCGAAACCAGCCGGCTCGGGGCGCTCCAGTGGCGAGCCCAGACAGAAACCGCGCACGATTGCGGATTTCTATCTGTCGCCGAAGCCCTTCAAACTGGAAGTCCCACAGAAACGGCTGTGAAAGTCTTGACTCACAGACGAACACTATACAGAAGCCTGATGATGGCAGGTAAGATTCTGCCGAAACGTTGCTACAACTTTAAAAGCACAACTATAATGATGTGGAAAAATACCCGAACAAAGCTGAATACCATACATACATAACATACATACATACATACATACATACATACACACACAGTAAACTATATACTGTAGTAAACATAGTATTTACTGTATGTATGCATATATGTGTATGTGTATACACACACAGAGTAAACAATATATACTTATATATTGTTTATTTCAGTTGTGAAAGTAGGCCAAATGCAAGGTTTTAAATATATGTATTGTATGTTGTATAACAAGGCAAAAATAAGGAAATGAACAAAATGGTAGTGTTGACTGACTTTCTCTGAAAGCAAGCACTGCAATTTTACGCTATTTTGGGCGTGGGGGGGAGAATAACAACAGCAACTATTGCTGATAAAGAAACTGAAAAATAACTTTAAAAATTGCCATTGTAAGGAACAAAGAATATCTCAGGACTAAGCCAGGTACAACTTGGGAGAACTATAATTCAGTTTTCCTCTCCCCATTTTCATGCATGATCTTGAATTCTGTATCTTCAGTTTGATCAGGATGGGATGTGACTTGAAATGGGTATATATATCGCCTGTAATATCAGTCAATAGGTTTCTCAGTTTCAGTGTCATAGAGAACATGCACAATATTTGCTCATGTTCTGCTGGCATTTGATTGGCCACTATGGAAACAGAATGCTGGACTCAAATAGCTCTTTGGTATGAACCAACACAATCTTCTTTGTGCACCTGTGTCGGTATCAATAATTCGATAAAAAAACCATAAGTCCATACACACGTTTCATAATTGCATTTTCAGATGTAATGAACTTTCAAATATTTTCTTGGTGCCATTTCTCAGTGAAAATTGCTTCCCCACTCAACAGAAGATGCAGTTTTTCAAAGAAACAGTATTGGAGAGGCTTTAGTTTTTAAGATGCCAAAGAAGTCAGCAACAGACTAGGATGTGGATTGTAAATTGTAAATTCTTTGATAGTTGAATTATGAAATACTATACTTCTGATTGCAGATTGATCCCATTACAGTTGCTAGTCCAAACTCAATTCATACCTTACTTTTCCTGAAGCAACTGACTTTTCTATTTTCATAGATGATTATGTTCCTTGAGGATTAGAGTAGTTTGCTCAGTTTTTACCCCCGGGCATTGGAAATCTCAGATCTATGGTACACTGTTTATTGTGGATTTTGGAAAATATCTTTTATTGTACTTTGGATTAAGTAGATGACTTGCATCTTTGTTTACTTCCTTACACAATGAGTAATTAATTTGTAACATAGCTAGTGAGGGAATGATAATGGTTAAATCTTGTTATATAAACATTTGGCTGATCCTAGAGAAAAGAAAATAAGCGAATATAAGAGGCTTTTTTTGTTAGCTATTATATTTATATTCTATCAGATCAGAGGTGGTATTCAGCAGGTTCTGACCAGTTCTGGAGAACTGGTAGTGGAAATTTTGAGTAGTTTGGAGAACCGGCAAATACCACCTATGACTGGTCCCGCCCCCAACTATTCTCTGCCTCCTGAGTCTCAGCTGATCTTCTGGGTCTTCTTTTGTTGCCTTGCACAGGAGAACAGAGCTGGAAAGCAGGTTGGTAGGGTGTGGAGGGAATGGGATTTTGCAATAACCTTCCCCCAGGAGTGGGGATTTGCAGTATCCTTCCTCTGCCACCCCCACCAAGCCACCCCCACCAAGCCATGCCCACAGAACCGGTAGTAAAAAAAATTGAATCCCACCACTGTATCAGATACACAAAAGCTCGTATGGTTATACCACATCACAATTTTGTCTGAATTTATCAGGCTTTGAGATATGCAGAATTCCTTGAGAACTTTAACATTAAAATATTATGCTTGCTGAGTGCACATTTTTATTTAAAATAAATTAGCATTTTGAAGAAATCCTCTGAAGGGAGAATGGAAAAGGAATGTGAATCACTTGAAGATTTTGCATTTTTCTACTCAAACTTGGTTCTTGGTTTTAGCTACTTCTAAATCATTTCATACATATTTGATAAAAAGGAAGGGATGATGTAAATATATGCAGTGCTTCCCCCAAAGGGGATGCTAGCAATTGGGCCCTTCTATCCCTTTTCCCAGGTGACCAACCCTCCTGGCCCAGGCATACCAACACATCTTGGAGAGAATTATGAGCTTTAATTAAAATAATGGCTGTTAACAGAAAATCAGATTAAGCAGCAATTACAGGTAACAACAAGCACCAGTTCAATAAACTAACAATAATCCAGAAAGCAAATTAAAATAGTGGTCAATAAAATAATAAAATATAAAATAAAATAAAATAAAATAAAATAGAATAAAAAAGAATAAAAAAGAATAAAAAAGAATAAAAAAGAATAAAATAAAATAATCAAATCAAATCAAATCAAGCAACAACTACAGATAATAGCAACAAGCACCAGTGCAATAGACACACAATGACACAACAAATGTTAAAACGGTGACCCTTAAGATAAAATCAGATTAAACAGCACAATAATACAAAACATTAAACCTTATGGTAAGCAACATTGCTCAAATTTAAAATGTCCCAATGCCTCCAATGTAGTTCATCAATGGCCAAAGGTTCAGACTTCAATTGAAGGGTTCAGTTAAAACACGCAAATAGGTCCTAAAGACTGTCCTTTGGCCAAATGGTCCCTCATCGATCCTGTCGTCTTACAGACATGTCCTCTGTAAAACCAGTGAGAGGCTTATGGAGTCCACTTCTTCCAGCCAGGGACAATGGCTACAGGAGCTCCATTGAACCAAAGATGCAGCTAACCTGAAACCGTGCTTTGGATAAGAATGTTACCCCTGTCACGGCAACTCAGATACAGTCTCTAGGCTGAGATATAGCAGTCGATCTTCCTTGGGGTAGCAATTTCTCTCTCCTTCCAAAGGAGCCCAGCCTCCTTCCTCATAGTAGTATTCCATTTTTTATTCCCTCTCAGTCCTTTTAAAACTTTTCCCCCCTCCAATCTCCTTTTCTGATGCTGCCCCCTCCCTTTCTCTGAGCTGCTGGAATATGTAGAACCCTCTCCAGCACTCTGATTTAATTCACTCTGCTGGGGTCTGCATTTCCCAGAAATCTTTCCCCACCCCACCCCGCCCCCAGGGTCCCTCCCTGTTCCAATTCCAGGGGTGTGGCTCCAACCAGTCAGCCAACTACTGTAAGGAAAGCTGACTGGCTGCCACATCTTCTCCTCTATGTTAAAGCAGCTCAGAGGAAGTTAAGAATGGGGGGAACAGCTGCAAGTGTTTGCAGTGACTTTTAAAATCAAAGAAGGAAAAACTGCTAATTGAGCTGGCTACATATAATATGAAAAATAAACCTGATTTTTAGGCATGCTGGTTTTAAGGTCATAAATATATTGACTGTCTTAATTTCAATCAAATTATAAGGCTAAGTTGCAAAAAATTACAACTTTTCAGCCAAAATGTCTTAGGAATTTTTATTGAAAACATCTTAGTTTGGTGACACCTGCCGTGTAGAAACTCACTGCAGCAGATCGTAAAAATACTTTCCTCCTGTCTATTATTTAATACTCTATTTCATTTCCTCTGGTGCAGTTTCTCCCAGTGAGAAAATAAAAGCAGATGTTTTTATGTTATTTCTGATAGATGTGAAAGTTTTTATAAACATTTATATAGGAATTTCTAAGTTATCTTTTTTATCCAGAAGGAGTCCCAGGGTAACTAACAATTTTAAATTTTAAAGCTATTTATAGATTTTGAAACAACAAACAGTGAAATCACAAGTAAGAAAGGATATAGTTAAAATCATACAGATCAGTATATTTAAAACTAAAGAAGAAAGAGTTCCACTGTTAGGGTGCAGCATCTGACATGTATTTTTTAATTGTCTACCTGGTGAAGACTTTTCCAAATAATGTTGGAAAATCAAAAAACCAAATCCAAAAACTTTTCCAAGACTTTTCTGGAAATTTTAAATGCTACATAAAGACATTCAGTAATTTCTTTTTTAGAAACCGAATTCTATTGAAATGTTTTGTGAAAGGAAAAATGAAAAAGGGCTATGATTTATAATGTTCAAATATAATTCATTGATTATTTTGTGCTATTTTTTTTAATTTGTGAAAACTACTTTAAGTTATTTCTCTATAGTTTAAAAGTGGGGAGGTACCTCCTAAACATATGTAAGCAAGCAACTTGGTTTCCCTCAAATGCTGTACAATTTATCTTATATGTACATTCTTCTAAAAATTAATCGCCTGAAAAGATATGTTGACTAGAGTTGGCTTTTTCTTATACTACTATTACGATTTAGAAAACTATAGATTTTTTTTAGGAGCTAAGTGTTTTCTGGAAGACTTTCCAGATATGGATTACAGATAAAATTGGTGCATTCATCTTATTTGCTGTTTCTGAAAAGCAGGCTGATTTAAAATTTGTGGTGTGGAATGTCATAAAACTTGCACTGTAAAGCCCAGAACAACAGTTGCTACTCTGTCTTTATCTTTATGGTTGTACATTATTTTAAAACCACCCTTATTTTTTTTTTCCAAATAAGGTCCTTTGGAGAAGAAACCTGTTTTAATCATGTTCATTTTTTCCTGCATTCAAGGTTTTTAATATAAAGGTCAGATATTTTAAAAGAAGTAGACATTTATATCTCAAATACCTGCCTATCCTGGTTTTCTTACAGACACCAAAGATGCTGACAAGAAAAATTAAACTTTGGGACATCAATGCCCATATAACCTGCCGCCTTTGCAATGGTTATCTTATTGATGCTACCACTGTAACGGAATGCTTGCATACCTGTGAGTATGATTATTACCGTGTTTTGTGAATTAAGATTTACTTTCATGTAAACATAATCATTTGGGATTTTGTTTTGATTTTTATTTGAAAGGCTAATGTTTAAGAGACCTCTTAATTTCAAATTGTTTATTCAAATGTTAATCTTTTTTTAAAATGTATACCAAGAAATTCAGAGAGCTTTGAATTACAGTAGTTGGCACAATTAGATTTATCTACTTGCTTGCTTGTTTACTTACTGAGGTGGGTGGAGCATGTATCTTATTCATTTACCACTTCTATTCTACCTGTTTCTGGAAGGACTAGGAATTGTCCAAATCTTCAAATTTTTAAAATTCCCACACTTGGTTTGCCGAAAAGGTGCCCACTTTCAGCGAGTGAACCAACCAGTGGGGCAACCAATGTGAGCCAGTTGTGCAGTTCTGTTAATATCTGAAAAGGTTTTCCCTCAGTTAATCCCATAATATTTGGATGCTGTATAATTCTCTGAGAAGCAAGTAAATGAAGGCTGATATATATATAAGGAATGGGGAAGAACAGTTCTACTTAGAAGAAACTTCTCTGGGGAAGAAGAAACTTAGGCACCTTATTATCAACAATTTGAAATTAAGAGGTCTCTTAAACATTAGCCTTTCAAATAAAAATCAAAACAAAATCCCAAATGATTATGTTTACATGAAAGTAACATATCAGTAAAAAACATATCAGTAAAAAAACCTCTGCTCTGAACTGAAGTGTTAAGATCTCTTACTTATTCATCTAAGAGAGGATGTAAATATGTGACATCATATAATGTTCTGAACTTTTTTCCCCCTTAAAACAGAAGGTAATGGCTCCTTCAGGTACATACCTAGGAATGCTGAAAAGGGAGCTTTTACTAAAGAGCATGATGTAAAAGTTGTGATGCTCTTTTGCTGAAAGTCATAATGTATTTCTAACTGCTACTGCGAAGGCATCATTTCCCCGCTCCCCTTTCCCCCCCTTTGAACCGAATGTGCAGATCTGTAGCTAATACAATTAAGATAATTTTGCTGACAGTGCATGAAAGGATATTAGGTAACAAATACATGATTTGGTTAAAACAATATTTGCCAGGTTATATAGGAATTGATGGATGCAATTACGGCTTTGTTTAACAAGGATGATGGGATCTAATTTGAGTGCTAGACTGTCTTTCAAAACTGACAGCTTGCAGGGTTAGTTAATGAGAATTATGTAATGTATAATTACATAATGGTCAAATAGCTGAGACGCTTGCAATAAACCTCTACCTCAGGTATAGCTGCACTGCATTTAATCACCTACCATCCTTAAATTCAAATCTTTCTTTGTTTTTTGTTTTTTTGCATTTGGGATATATTGGATATGATGGCGTATTAAAGACCCTCCTTTTTTGTGAAAAGAAAGAATGGATAAAATAAAATGTAATCTCATCTTTATAGAACTTGCCATTATTCAGTTCTTCCAAAACCAAGAACTTCCTTCTAGTGGCTTTTCTTTTGGCTCCTTGAGCTCACACCTAGTTATTTAGAAAATGTATACGTCAACCCAACTTGTTCATGCTGTCTCTAGTTGTCTTATGAAATAAAACCCCAATACAAAAACCAATAAATCCCCCCCTCCCGGCAGCAACAGGCAAATGAACTACTTGATGGGTTCTATATCAGCGGTTTGCCAACTGGTGGGCCGTGTCCCACTGGTGGGCCGTGAGAAAATTTTGGTGGGCCGCAGAGAAATCTCACCCCAGAGCACCCCCCCAAATTAATTAATCCAGGCTGTGCAGAAACACAAGGCTGCGCCACCCACATGGCCCACAGGAACCCTCCCCGCCCACTCACTCCTTACCTGGCAAACTTGCCTGCTAAATTGTTATTTTTCCTTTTTCCGACCATCAGCTGTTCTGCTGTGCTGGGAAATTTAGATTAGAGAGGAAGCAGGAAATGGTTGGATTTCTTGCTTTCTACCTAGTCTTTAGATCTTCGGTTCTGCTTTTAAGCACAGCCGAACCTCCCTTAGGACTGAAGGTTCTATTATTCAGTGCAGATTCACGGCAAGCACATTTGAGAGACTGAGCTAGCTGATGACAGATAGATAGATCACCATATGATTCTGTGAGCAACTCAATCTGCCTGCCTGCTTTGCCTGATTTTGGGTAAAAGTTACTCTTTTTTAAATAAAAAATTCAATATATAAATATTTATATTTACATACAAGCCATGCCCAGCCAATCACATGACCACCAAGCCACACCCACAAATTAGGCCACACCCACAGAACTGGTTAGTGGTCCCTGAGATTTAAAATTATGAGTTTGGTGGTCCCTGAGGTCCAAAAGGTTGGCAACCCCTGCTCTATAACACCCTGGGGATTCCTAGGCCTTCTGGCAAAACCATGCCTTCAGGGTCTTGAGAAGGAGTGTTAACGTGGGGGCCAATCTTATTTTTGTAGGGAGCTACCATGGAGAATGGCCTTCTTCTTGGTCCCAATAGATACACCTCTTTAGGAGAGGGAACCCATAGCATTCCAGGCATCTCCTCTCTGGTGGGTTGGGTAGATGGAACTGGGAAAATTCAGTCCTTCAAATAACCTGGCTCCCGGTAGGTGCTTTAAAAGTGATAATCAGCATCTTGAATTGGACCTGGAAGCAAATCAGCAGACAATCAAGCTATTGCAGGAGGGGTGACACATGTGTAAATCCAGAATAAATAATGCGGGTCACTGCATTTTGAGCCACTTGAAGCTTCTAAATACTTTTCAAGGGCAGCCCCATCTAGAGCTCATAGCAGCAGTCAAGGCAGAAGGTGTCTAGAGCATATGTGACTGTGAATAGGGCCTGTTGGTTTGGAAAGGAAGAAGGTGAAAATTCAACATGTAACAGACAAATGTCACCTTTGTAGTGAAAAGGATGAAACATTTGATCAATGCCTATGGCATTTGACCATTTGATCAATGTCTATGGCAAAATGTCACAAAGGGGTTTATAAGCAGGTCATGATCAAATTGCTAAAATTATTCACTGGGAACTTTATTACAGGTTTAGTTTTGAATGTAATAAATATTACTGGGACCATCAAGTTAAGAAGGTGTTGGAAAATGAGCAAGTTAAGATCTTATAGGATGCTAAGATCCAAACAGACAGCTTTTTCATAACGTGCCTTATATAACAGTTATTGAATAGAAGAAACTGTGGTTCATTGATGTTGCTGTACCAGGTGATGCTAGGATTGTGGAAAAGCAATTGGAAAAAAATTACAAAATACCAGGACTTGCAGATCAAAGTTGAATGCTTATAGAAATCAGTTCCTATACTGTTTATGATTGGAGCCCTCGGAGCCATACCTAAACAACTTGATATCTGAAAATATTGAATTTATCGGACTTGAACACCTTCATTTAACAAAAAACAACCCTGCTTGGAATTGCCTACATTCCTAGATGCTACCTTAATAATTCTTAGGTCCTTGGTTAGGATTTGAATTATTAACTTTTCCCCATCTTAGACTGTGAAACTTAATGTAGATTACTCACATATGAAAATGATAATAATGCTTTATTTAAATTATATGATGGCTTCATCTCACACACATGACTCTGGGTGATGCACAACATACATTTCATGCATACATACTTGCATACATACATACATATGAATGAGCACCTCACTACACTTTGGATGCTTCTGGATTGAAAGGATTGGCCAGTTATAAGCTGTTGTGCAGAGGATGCCCAAATATGTTAACAACAGACTTTCTTCAAGGAGGCTCTGAAGAAGTAGGAATTGGAAGGAGCAGGGATAGGAATAGGCTCTGTCACATGGCTGTGGCCCCAGGCTTGGGCATAAAACTAGATTTTCAAGGTCTTGTATGTGTGTGTGTGGATTTACCCTCATCCTTTCCGAGTTTCCCTTTGAAGGAAATATCTTCTTCTCTGTTTTGTAAACACTATCACAAGTTTGCTCCTGCACCTGCTAGAATGTGTATCATCGTGTATGAAAAGTAGATGGCACTGTTTAACTGCAGTTTTTAGTCTTTGGTATTGTCACTTTTCAAGAGTCGAAGATCCAGCGAAATGTTAATTGAATTATTACTGAGGAAGTTTCACTTTTCCAACAGCAATCATTAGCTTCAGAATAAGCTTGGTTGCAAGTATACTCACAGTCAACAACCAATTATGCCATGCTGTTGCATATATTTCAGTGTTTACTTTTAAATAAGACTAATTATCTATCATTATAAATATTAAATAATACTCCTTTTTCTTAAAAAAAAAGTCTGCCTATAGGACAGTAGCTGTCATTTCATTTTGAAATGAACTCACAATGTTTATAAATTGATTATAGTCTTAAATATCTCAAATGACAACACTGACATTGATTTAATTTCTGAAATCTTTATATTGGCATTTTTCTGTTGCAAATTTGGGATACGCTAAGTTTATTCAGAAAAAGAAGGTACTCCGTATAAAATGTTCATTAGACTAACAGCTCTCTTTTTGGGCAGTTTCTGTGTTTGTTAAAACTGGACTTTGAGTGCAACCATTTGGATCTGCATCCATAACTGAAACAGTGACATTGTTTAACTTTGCTCCCTTGAGCCATACAGGTTCAATTATGTGCAGAGTTTAAGTGTTATTAGCAGATGAAAATGTCACTTTACAATCATTTTAACTGGTATAATATATATATTTTTTGTAAAACAGTTTGCAGGAGTTGCTTGGTAAAGTATTTGGAGGAAAATAATACCTGCCCCACGTGCAGGATAGTAATACACCAGAGTCACCCTCTCCAGTATATTGGGTAAGTATTGTGTTAAAAGAAATACATGCAGAAATCTCCTGGATGTGCCTTTTCTAAAACATGAATTGGGCAAAAGAATAGGCCTACGATTGGATTTTTCCATTCTATTTCAGCAAAATGGAAATAGATATAGGGAAACCCACCCACCCCCCTTTTCCCCCCTTTTTAAAGTTTCCCTTTCATTTGTGTCCAAAGGAAGAGGATATTTTTCAGTTATCCTAATAGTGTAAATATATAAAGATTTATTATAGGCCTTTACAAGAACCATTTTAATTTCTCATTTTTTGTCTTGTCAGTCATGACAGAACAATGCAGGATATTGTTTACAAGCTTGTTCCAGGTCTTCAAGAAGGTAAGACAACAGTAAACTGTTCAAAAGACATTTATATCTGAATAAATTCCCTCTGTCAAATGGTTTTGGTAAATGTAATTTACTGTTGCTTCACTTTATTTGCTTGCTTTCCAAAGCAAGGACAACCACACATTGGAGCCCACGACAAAAGTTTTATTTTTTTAAATGTGATGGCAGAATCCTCAGGATTGAAAAGAAAAATCAAAGAAGCCTTTCCCAACCTAGATATGCTCTAGATAGGTAGACTTCAGTTCCCAGAATTCCCCAACCAGTATAACTGGTATTGCTCTAAATTTCTCCATTCCTTGTCCCCATATTGTCATAAATTATATGAGATGGTCTAGAAGATCTGAAGAGGAATGAAGAGGCAGGTATCCTCAACATTAATCAGTAAAAAGTTAAGTATTTTCAGTAAATGGTTGGTTGTATCTTCATTTTAGTCATATAACTCAAAAATGTATTTTTCCAAAAAACAATAGAAGCAATTGACAGAAAAGGTTTTACAATTTAAATATTCCTGGCAATGCCCAGGGCATTTTCTAAATCTGAAAGAATATTGGCATCTCCCAAGTTCTTCATATTTATAAACATAAAATGAATACAGAGGTAATTTTGATGGTATAGGAGCAATTAAAGTGTCCAATTGTACATTTAATTATTTCACAGAAATATTTTGAATCTGTGATAGATGGTTAGGATTTTGAAAATTATATTATAAAGTAACAGCTGGGGGATCATATTTTTGATCAATCCAATGTTACTTTGTCAGAAGACTAATGTAAGAAGTTAACTCCCAGTTGCTAGACTCTATTCCAAAAGTGTGGTTGGAGAACATACATCTCTGATGTGTGGAAATAGGAGAGGGAGGTGATTTACAAAATTCATAAAGATGAATGCATAAATAAATTTTGTAAAACAAAAAGAATGTTCCCTGGATTCTAATTTTTGCCAAATGTTATTGAACAAGTAGACAAGTGAGAGGAAGCGTATTGGGTCAGCTTAATGTAACACTTTGAAAAGTAGTATTGCATTATATGGGATGTTCTTAAAATCCAGTTGTGTTACGAGTTGGTCACCAAAAAAGCATTTGAACGTTAGAGGGGGCTCTTGTTACATATTCTAAACAAGGGAGAGGAATACAATGTTTGCTTGAGTTGATGAAGTCCACATTCTTAGCTAAAGACACTATTTTAAAATGTTAAACAGCGGAAATGAAAAAGCAGAGGGAATTCTACCACAAATTGGGCATGGAAGTACCAGGTGACATCAAAGGGGAGACGTGCTCAGCCAAGCAGCATTTAGATACTCACCGTAATGGTAAATAGAAATGCATGTGCTTGTTCTTTTCAGAGTAATTACTGTGCTTGCCAAAGGAAATTGTTTGCTCTTTGTTTAACTAGATTAGTTTAATATAGTACATTTGTCACAACCTTGCTAAAGAAATATAAACTGTCAATTTCTTGAGTAAATTAGTGCTTTGCTGTGAGTACTTGACTGGAAAGCTGAAAATTCACTAATTTTCTGATCCATGTGTTTTCAACAAGATCTACACAGCTGGATTTCTCTCCAAGCTTTGGAATGGCCCAAAATTGTAGAACTGGCCCCATTATTTGTGCATATATAGCCTCTCTATTTAGTCTTATAGTACCCATAAATTGTGGCTATCTTGTAAAAATGGCTAACAATTTGATCAAAGCATAACACTCTTCCAAAATTTCATGTACTCCCACTAGAACAAAAAAGATTGAGAACCTCTGTAGTAGGGTAGGATTTAGCAACCTTTTCACTGTCAGAAACCCACTTTGTGATTTCACACATAATTATGGGCATCAAGAAATAGATAAGCATTAATATAAACATTAAGATCCAAAATCTCATGCCAGGAAGACAACTCTTGCAAGATTTGTTAGTTTACAAAGTTCTGTGCGTGTCAATATGGGGCACGGTAGTTTTGCTAAGAAATCACTAGTGTAGATAAGACTGCACTGATTTATGTGGCTGTGCTCAAGGTTGAAGGAGTAAAATGCTCCTTAAATTGTTAAAATAAATAATAAAATCAAATAAAGATAATAACAATAAAATAAAGAAGGTCTTAAATATTCAACCCCATTGACTCTGGGATTGGGAAAGAGCTACAAATTAGACTTTCAGTCAATTAGACTGTTCCAAGGCAGCAAGTTTAATGATCAATAATCAAGTCCTGTGAGCTTGCTGAATTTAATAACATTCCAAAAATGTGTGCCTTTTTATGTGCTAAGGCTGTTAGGTAAGTCTTGTGGCAACCGCTTCCTTTGAGGGCAATTCCTTGGAGAGTTTATGCTGCTAATTCTGAGACAGATAGCATTGCTAGACTTAGCTCCACTGGGAAAGTGTTAATTGCTGCCCCAGAGCCAGTGACAGAACTGTATTCGTAACAGAGCATAGCGTCACTGCAGAAGATTGCGCCACTCTACAAGGATAAAGCACCTAGTTTCTTTGGATACGAGATAAGCAACTAATAAATTTCATATATACATAAATAAAAGTAAATAAATCCAGAGGGCTACTTTGTCTCAAATATGTAGTAAAGATGGCTTGCTGACTATAGAATTCTCCTTTATTTTGACTTTGCTATGAATTGGTTGAGCTTCTTAGGTTACAGTTGAGCGACAGGGTTGGACTTTAAACAATCGGGTTGATATTTTTTGTGTGTGTTTTAACATTGTAATGTACATAACATCACATATGTAAGATAGTCAGCTATATAAATTGAATAGATAGACTGTAAATTTCTCAGTGCAAAAATAGCTTCCAAATATATTTTAGGATACAATTTACCAAGTAGCACAGCTTAGCAAAATATAATGTTGATACTGCAGAGCAGCAGTATCCTACCTGTTCCACTACTGGTTCAGTGATCATACGCATGCAGCTTTCCGCACACCAACTGAGGCCTGTAGCGCCAATCAGCTGAGAGGATAAAAGAAGAAAAAAGCGCAGGAGCAAGTGGGAGGGCTGATCCTGTGCTTTTCTATTCTTTCTCCTCTCAGCTGATCCTCGGAGGCTTTTTTTTTTTTTTACTACCGGTTTGAGCTGAACCAGTAGGGATTTTTGCTACCAGTTTGGCTGAACCAGGCTGAACTGGTAGCATACCAGCCCTGCTGCAGAGATTTCAAGAGATTTGACTTCTGTGTGACCAACAGGCTTCATTCTGAAAAAGCTGTTGATCTTGATTTCATTTTGTTTCATGCAAATATTTCTATCTTTGGAGTCTTCCCGTTCATAACAGAGCCTCTATGCTTTTGTTATAAGGGGAAACTAAAGCAGATGAGAACACAAACAAAGAAACATCAGAAGAGAAACAGGAAGAAGATAACGATTATCACAGAAGTGATGAACAGGTATTGTTGAAATATAACCTTTGAACTAGCCGTTGTTTCCCTTTTTGGTAGTTTAAGACAGCATTTCTCAGTGAGGGAATTTCCATATGTGTAGAGTTGACTCCCAGCATTCTCAATACGCTGCCTGGATAATTCTAAGAGCTGAAGTTCACACCTTTGGCAGCTGCCCAAGTACAGAAATACATGTTTAAAGTTAGGTGTTTTTTTTCTTTAATTTTTTTTTCTTAAAATACCTCCCAAATAACAATGATCCTTTCAAGGAAATCATTTCCATTAATAACTAGGGAGGTTCATTTTTGGAAGAAATGTTTGAAATTGTCACAAATGAAAGCAAGAATGTCCTAGGATACCATATTTTTTAAAAAATCCTAAGAATGGTTGGTTGTGATTTCCCAAACTTGACTGGAATCTCTGGCATCAATCCTCGAATTTTTTTTCTGGGCAAAAATAAATGAGGGGAGTTATTCAAAATTCTTTGAAAAAAAAAGTAATTGTTTTTCATTCACAATAGTTTGGAGCAGTAGGTTGAATTACCTACTTTATTAAATCTCAGAATCTAACCACTGAAGAGCTAGAACCTTGCGCACGAATAAAGTGTTACAGGTAGTCTTAGAGTTGCAACAGTTCATTTAGTTCAAATGAAATGGTACAATAGCACTAACAAAGTTTTGTCTTATGACCATTTTTCACACTTACAACCATTTCAGCAACCTCATGGTCATGTGATCAAAATTCATGCGCTCATATTTATGACGGTTGCAGCATCCCTGGATCATGTGTGATTACCTTTTGCGACCTTCAGACAAGCAAAGTCAGTGGAGAAGCCATTAATTAACAGCCGTCTTACTAACCTCACAACCGCCATGATTCACTTAACCGTTTTGCTTAGCAATATACATTTTGGGTTCATTTGTGGTTGTAAGTCAAGGATTACTTGTATTCATTTTACACAACATTTTTCCTTGCTGTATAATTTACGTTGGTTTGAACTGAAGAATGTAACGTTGACCAACTGTATCTGTGCTTAACATCTGGGAATAACTGGAAGCAGAAGACCTGGGACTTATCCCTCAGTATTCTAGTTGGAAAGGCTTTAGGCAGAGAGGAACTTATATTGTTTAGTAAAGGCTGTGCATACATCATTTTATTAATCCTATGGATGTTTGGATCTATGCTCATCCTAGAATCTTCAAGTTTGGTAATGTTTTTTGTGTGTGCGTGCGTGTGTGTGTGTCTGTCTCTGTACATAAAAAAATAAAATTTTATGGAACCTGGAGATTCTAGGATGAGCATAGATCCAGATGTCTATGGAATTAGTAAAACGGTGTATGCAAAACCTTTACTAAACCAGCAACTGCACACAATATGAAACTGTTCACAGTGAAGGAATTCAACCCCCCTGCAAACAAATGATTTAATTCATTTTGATAGACAATTGTCCCTACCTTAGTGAATATTTCTCCAAGGATCATAGAGAAAATACCTTACAGCAGTGATGGTGAACCTTTTTGTTGTGGTGTCCCAAAAGTGCTGGCACCTACAATGCAATGCGCCCACCCCCCCCGCACATGCGCACACAACATCCCCCACCCCCTTACCTGCACTGAGCATGTGCACACCTCCCAGATGATTTTCAGCCCATTTGAGGCTGTTTTTGCCCTCCTGGAGGCTCAAGAGAAGCCTCTGCAACCTCGGGAGGCCGAAAAACGGGCCTGTTTCGGCACTTGTGGTATTTCCTGAAGGCCCATTTTTCAGCCTCCCAAGGCTGCAGAGGCTTTCTTTGGAGGGTGAAAATGGCCTCAAACAGGCCGAAAATCAGCTGGGAGGCGCATGCATGCACAGTGCAGGTAAGTTTGGCTGGGGCTCGTGTGCCACCTGTGGCACGTGTGCCATAGGTTCACCATCACGGCTTTAGAGCATATTACAACAACCCTTTCTAGTGCACTCTTTCCCTTTCTGTCCTTAAGCTCTTCCAGATTTCAGTTGGAGGACTTTCCGATCACAGAAAACCATTCTTTGTAGCTAGGATTGCCAGATAGGCTCTCTTCTGAATTTAAGCAGACCCACCACTGATCCTTGTTACGTAATGTGGGCATCATTCAGTTTAGAATTTTCTGCTTCTGCTGCTACGAAATGAGAACCTAGATTGTAACCTGTCTTGGCTCTTTCCTTAAAGGTAAGCATCTGCTTGGAATGCAACAGTAGCAAATTGCGTGGATTGAAGAGAAAATGGATTCGTTGCTCAGCACAAGCTACAGTCTTGCATCTAAAGAAGTTCATTGCCAAAAAACTTAATCTTTCTTCATTTAATGAGGTAATCAGTGCTGAATAGTGTAAAACAAAGAGAAACAAAAAAAGCGTGGCTGATTTAGAAAAACAACAACTCTAACTTTTTTTTTCTTAAAATGTTGTATTAAATCCTTAGAGATGGTTGATTTTTCCTGAAACAGAATTGCTGTTTCAGTCACTTAACTAATGTATAATAATATTAAGCTTTTCAAATGTGGTTCTGAAGCTTCCCAGTATTCTTTAGTTTGTACTTGAAGCATTAATGTAAATATATCTAATGAGAAAAATTCATGGGGAGACCTTTAGCAGAGATGAGTTTAAAATTGTCAATGTACTCTCTTTGTGCAGAACAAGCAAGTGCCTTCAGCTGTTTATATAAATTCTGAAGGTCAAATAATTTCCTTTAAAAATAAAAAAAAGTTGCCAGTTTAAACTTTGATTTTAAGTTACATATGTTATTGTGAATGGATTATGAAAGAGAATATGTAAAAATTCAGTGCAAATAATTGAAGAAAATCTGTTACAACTAATGTCTGCTAAAATGCCATGCATTTATTTAAATAATATCTTGAAAGCCATATAGGTTATCTGCTATATTTATTGCAAGAAAATTGAGTCTCACTCATTTTTCATTAGCTTATAAACACATTGGCTTACATACATTTGAGGAAAAGTCTTTTCTGATTCTTACTTGGCAGTAAAGTAGGACTTTTGAGTAAGATACAGACAGTTTGGTGTAGTGGTTAAAGTGGTTAAAGAGCCAGGCTATCAATTGGAAGGCCATGAGTTCTAGTCCCATGTTAGGCACAAAGCCAGCTGGGTGATCTTAGGTCAGTCACTCTTTCCAACCTCTAGGAAGAAGGCAATGACAAACTTTGTCAAGAAAAAAGTTTGCAAGAAAATTGAGACTCACTCATTTTTCATTAGTGTGTTCAGGGATTTGTCCAGCTAATTGCCAGCAGTCAACATTGTCCAGCAAATGAAAGCAGCAAAATGTTCTAATACATCTTAATTAAGGTCTATGAATGAACATGCAGAGACTCTTTATTTTGTTGGAAAATCAACTTGAAGTCAAGAAAATAACCCTCAGTATAATGATTTTGGAAAATCATGGATTTTATGAAAGGCAGAAAGATTTTTGCCAACAATTCAACCTGCGTTTGATTCGCAGGCTTGACTAAGAGAAAACACACACACACACACACACACACACAGAGTTAGTATAATCTGTTGATAAATGTAAGGTTTCCTCTCCTTATTGCTTGTTTCCATTGAAAATGTTGTTCACCCAGGTATTTCAGTTTCCTTTTTTCCTCACTTCAACTGTAGTGGAGCAAGCTCATTTTGATCTATATCAGTATTTCTTGGTCTTGGTGATTTTTAGATGTGTGGACTTCAACTCCTAGAATTAATCAACCAGCAACTGCAAATGGAAGTCCACACATCTTAACATTGCCAAAGTTGACAAACACTCATGCTTGCATTTCTTGAAATATTCCAGTTTGTGAGAAATTTCGTCTTTGGTTTCTTTGGAAGTAGGAATGAAGTTCTAGTTTCTGTTGAAAGATTCCAGAGAGAAAAGATTTTCCAATTATTAAGCAATATGTGCTTTTTTTTGGAGGTATCTGGCAAACTGTGAGAACTTTTGGAGTGTGAGAATTTTAAGTGTAAAATTTAATATCAGTAACTGATGGAATAGAAGGAGAAAATAAATGTACAATTTTACATGTCAAGTAGGACATCTGCTATGTTTTGAGGGTGTACAAAGGCTATAGCTGAAATAGTTGTGTGAAGTTTTCAATCTTCCTAACATCAGACTGTAGCTTTCAAATTAAAAGCAGGCAAGAAATTTCATATCCAAAGGGACACTTATTTCTACCATTTTCTGTTTGCTATTGCTTGTAACTTGCTTATTTGGAAATAATCATTCCCTAGACAGCTATTAAGTTAGCTTCCACATATCCTATATAGAATCCTATCAGGAACTCATTTTTTAAACTACCAGTTTTAGAATTCATTTTCTCAGGCCAGGTTTTTCAAATGATGATGCTCAGAACTTGCATATGTTCACTTTGTTAATTTTCTCACTCTGGATTTAGTTAATTTCTGTAAGGCCAGAATATCTGGCCTTTTGTACATTATGGAGCAGATGGGGATCCACAGAGTGAAGAGTGAAGTTTATGCCCTGAAATAACTGCATCACCTGTAAGTGCTGAAATTTTTATCTCCCACCCACCAGGCAAATTAAATGATAGAATATACATATTATTCAGCTTGCAGCTTGTTGGTTAGAACTAAAATCCTAGCTGAGTTTACAGTATTGGAGAAGGCTCAGACACCTGAAGAGATTCTGGGAGGCAATATTTGAATTGCACTATCGTACCATTTCATGCCATTAAAAAGCCAAACAAAATTTGTTTTAATTGAATCGTTATTTGGATCTTGTAAACCAATCTCTTTAGTCAAAATATAAATCTTTTGTTTCTTTATCAGCTGGATATATTATGCAATGAAGAAATACTGGGCAAGGACCATACTCTCAAATTTGTAGTTGTCACAAGATGGAGATTTAAGGTATGCAACACTGGCAATCAATTGATACATTTAATATTTTCCACTTGAAACTTTTTAAACCTTTACTTTGTCATTCATAAAAATAATATCTGATGCCCTGATTCCTTGTGGTCCTTCTCTTTCCATGTTCTCAGGTCAGAAATTATCTTACTGTTTTGTTTTAGCTTGGACAGGAAAATAAAGGAGTGGGGGTGGGATGCTGGGCTTTGGGACATCTTCACTTTTAGAGACAGTGTCTGCCAAAGTCTTCAGGCCAGAAATGTCCACTGTCCCCTCCACTTAGGAGTAGCCCTGCAGAACCTGCTGAGATATTGAGCCTGAGGGTATCTCTGTCTCCTGGGCCATCAGTGGTGGGTATCAGAATCCTAAACAAAGGTTAAGCTTAAAAACATGTTTGTTTATTAATGTTCTGCATCGGAGAGTTCTTCAAGCAATTTTGTTTATTTTTCAGAAAGCACCTCTACTGCTACATTACAGACCGAAAATGGACTTGCTGTAAGAACTGTTTTGTCCTTGTGGACGGTTTTTTTGCAGAGACTATCATCAGGCACCTTCTTAGTGCATCATTACTCAATTCACTTGTGACATAGACCAGCAAAATCCATTCCTGAAAAAACAGTAGTACTTTCCCACCCCACCATTCTGAATATTTCTCTTGAGAGATGCATTAAACTCAACGTTCAGGACAGTAAAAAAAATATTTATACTATTTTCTACAAAAAAAGAAAAAAAAGAAAAAGGAAAGTGCAGTTTGGACGGACACTACCAGCATGATGTTTACAGACATTGAAAGCACTTCACAGTTCCCTCTGTGTAGCTCAGTTCTTGGTCATCATCTTGAAAGATGCAAAATAGGTTAAAATGTAGGGAAGGAGGTAATTTTCAATTTCTTGTCACCAAGCAGCTCTTGGATTGTTTTGCAACTTAGTTTAAACATAGCCCTTCCTTCCTTCCTTCCTTCCTTCCTTCCTTCCTTCCTTCCTTCCTTCCTTCCTTCCTTCCTTCCTTCCTTCCTTCCTTCCTTTTTTTTCTTCTCTCACCAAGTGTTCTGTCTCTTAAATCTCACGGGCATCTTGTTGATCAGTAAGCCCTTCATAGTATTTAATATTGAAAAAAAATGTAATGGTTGGCAGTGACTTGACATCATGATACAGTTCTGGATTCTGCTCCTTTGTTCCTCTGCTGATTCATTTGAGGAAGGTATTGGAATGAGTGATTTCCATTTTATTTCAGTTTTCTCAGATCACAGAAATAGTTGAGCATTTAGGGGGGGAAAACATCCTTTTTCTGTAATATGTGTGACTTACATAGCTGGGGCGGAAACAGGGGGATTTCCTGTTCTGAAAATGAAATAAGCCTTTAGCAGCCTTAACTACTTGAACTCCAGTATTGTCCTCTTGAACAACACACAATACTAATGCTGGAGCATGCATTCTGTGACAAGCATGAGTTCACTGACCTTCCTTCTGGGTTCTAGCTTCTATAAGAAGACCATTGTGTTTGCCTAATTCTCTACTTGAACTTCGGATTTAGTTGGCACTATGGTACTTTTGGGCCTTAACTATAAATCTATTTATTTTTAAATCCAGCCCCCAAGGGATTGATTTCTCCCTCTAGACTATGTAAGTGCACTTTCTCTTTAAGTAGCGGTGGGAACGGTGTGTGAAGGGCAATGTTGCTTTCCCTTTAATATCTTTAAGGTTGGGTGGTTGTTGTTTTAAAAAAAGGTTTCATTCAGTGGTGGAACTGCAAGTATGGACCATGCAAAATATATGTTGTTCTTCATCTGGACTAGATATGTAAGACTCTTTCATCTGGGAGAACCACGTCATTGATTTTAAATACTCCATTGTGTTCAACAATGCATGCGCATACTCCTTGTTGCATGTATATAGGCATGTATTCTGTGTGTGTCTCTCTCTCTCTCTTCCATATGCACATACATATATGCAGAGGCATAAGTATTCTTTGCATGAACACAAGTCTGCCTTTCCTCCATTGGACACCAGTTTGGATGGGATATGACCAGAACAGGGAAGAAGTTGCTGCTGAGAAGGATTACTGAGAGGGTATATTTTTTAAATTTCTCAAGATTTTTCTCTTTGATGCAGAAGTTTGCCTTTACTCTGTCTTACTAGCTCTATTGCTTATAATCCCGCTGCTAATTGAACCAAGTCCCCAGACAGAAGCAGAGGATAGCCCAATGAGGATGGGTTATATTGGCTGAGTTAGAGAGAGAGAGAGAGAGAGAGAGATCACTAGGAAAACGGAAACTTGAGCTTTCTCCATCCTTTATGGAGGTCACTTCCGTTTGGAGGTTTATGTGCTGATGGTGAGTATTCAGGACTGCTAGCCATTTGCTAATGTTTGTTTCTTGTTCTTCTGAATATCCTTGCTCTGGAAGTGTGACTCACAGGGAATCTTTCCTATAGGGAGCAAGCCTCATCAAGTATAAAAAAAAAGTTGCATGCCAGGGGTGGGTGAGTGGACAAACTTGACTAAGTGTATGGATGGAGCAGGAAACAAAATGCAAATGAGTAAATTCAAATGTGAGGCAAGAAAGGGCTCTTTTCATACTGTTCAGTGATTTTTTTTAGACATCAGTAATGCATCGGATAACATATATTCAATTAAGCTATTTGATATCCTTTTCTGGAATAAATTGTTCTCACACTGGGGAAATCCCTTGCAATTTCTGTTAGAAGGAGACCAAACACATTCCTTTCATAATGCAGATTGTTTCCTATATATCCCCTGTAGTTAAAAGGGTCACGCTTTTTTTTTTTTTTTTTGAAAAATACAAACTAGCTTTTCATCCTGCGGCTTCTCCTGTCGGTAGCACACGCGAGGAGCCCATCTCTCCCCAGTTGTTTTCCTTCTCTTAATTTCATAATGATAAATTAGATGGGAGTCAAAAGAAAGGAATAAAGAAGAAACAGGAGAAAGTGGACAAAAGGTACAAGAGTCTGCTTGCACATGAGCAGTGGAAGTGGGAATAGAGGACAAATGGAAAAAAACACGGGGCAGCCTTTTGGTAGAGAGCATTCTGTGTGCATGTCTTGTTGCAATGAGCTAGAGTTGGAAAAAAAAAAAAAACCTACATCACACACCTTAAAAGCAATTTTCCACTCTCCATACGAGATGAACCTGAGTGCATTGGCACCTCTTGTAACATTTGCACTCATTTAAATTAGGGCGTGTTGCAGGAGATTTTCTACTAGTAAGTGCGCTTAAAAAGGTAATAGTTCTTAATGATATGAAATCTGTATAATAAGTGCTTACTAATGATAGATGATTGCTCGCCATTCTGGAAAAAAAATCAGCTGAGATATAAATAAATTGGTTAGGGAACGGAAGAAGACACCTTTATTGAATGGTGTGTGTGTATGTGTGTGTGTATGAGAGAGAAAATGTGCCAGGCTTCCATAAATAGGACAGCCTTAAAAATTCCCTGTCTTCTCCTTTTATAGGTCACCAGGTGCTATGTGAAAACATCCTGGCTAACAGTGCTTAGTGAGCCTTAAATTTAGCCAGCCTGTTGAATACCCATTTGATTCAGGCTTTCCAAAACTTTTGCTCTCTAGACATGGCCAGTGGGCTTGATGAGAGTTTTATTTCAACACATTTATTTCGAAAACACCAGGTTGAAGAGAAATGTGGGTTAAACCTTTAAGAGGGTATAATGACAGTGTGCAACTATTAACTCTACCTCAGAACAGATACACAGCTGAATTGTCCCACCAAGCGCCATCTTAAAATGCAGAATACAACACCCACCCACCCAACACACACCTCCATTGCATAATTTAACCTGAGGGATTAAATAGTATTAAGGTGCAAATTGTTAACCCCGCAACTCTCTTGGACTGCAGCCGTTTACAGAACCCTCACTGCTATGTTTCTAAGCAAGTTTTTGAATCACTTGAATTTGATACGGTGCTATATTACTACATTATGTAATCAGGTGCATGAAACAAAAGCCAGCTGTTGACACCCAGGCTGGTTTTTAATCACTCATAGATGATTACTTTCTAACAGCCTGACAACAATGGCAGTGGCAGAAAATACTTTTTTAAAAAAAGAATTTTTGTTTTCCTTCTAAACAGTTTCTCAGAATATTTCTTCTCCTATGGAAACGGCATCCTTTGGGGATTATTTGTTTCAAAGGCCTGTCTTGTTTTATCAGAAAAACGATGGTTAATACCAGTAGAACAGATTCTTGTTATATCAGCTGTCTCTCTTCTGTGAAGCTTTTAAGGGGCAGGTTGCACAATGATTTGGGTGGGCAAACATTTTGTTGATTTTTTTCTGGCTTTAGGTCTTCACTTCTAGCGTAAGTGGGTTGGAGTTGCTCCGGCCACATTAAGTTTGTCTAAATTGATTAAGTGATACATGATTAACTGTGAAGTAATTTGTGTTCTTTGATTTAATTAACTGCTTACCACTGGTAAATGAAAGCAGTCAAATGGTCTCGTTGCATTATCTTTAGCAACAAAAAGACAGGATGAGGCAGGCTGATGGTCTCGCTTGGTATAATTTTCTTTTTAAGATAGAGAAATCAGAATATATAATATTGAATTTTAAATAAGATGGTTTTTTTTTTTGGAAAAGTTAACTTTATAAAATTATTTATTCTATTTTAAGCTTTCTCTTTTACTTTTTACCATCTAAGTATTTTTTTTATTATTGTTTTTACTTTTTTTTGGTCTCGATGGTCCAGCTTTATTTATGGGCATATAAAATGAAATTGTGAGATGTTTTTTACAAGCTTCTTCCTTCCTTTTGTGAGGGGCCAAATTAGATTTTGCACTAAATGAGGGTCTCTTACCAAAAATGGCACCTGTCTGCCTGTTTTCCACCTGTTGTAAGGTCTGATGTAATGGTATCTTTATATTCTGTATTTCTTTCCCATCATTTAGAAGGGAGGAAAGCTTCGAGAAGAACTTTGTAACTTAGATACTGGGTAAATTTAATGAGACATCATAAAGCAGCAAACAAACATAGAGCAGTGATTGGCCACCATAGTTGCCACATTTAGTGTAATTTTAGTTTGGCTCCATTCTTATTATTTTTTAAAAAATTAATGGTATGTTTTTGTGTGGATAAAGAGAGCATTACTTTATGCTTTTTGTGCAATAGGTTGGAAACATTCTGTTAGGCATACTTTTAAAATGGTAAATGTAGCATTGACTAACTGCAGTTTGGAGAAAGATGATGTAGGTAGTTTTAAGTTTACATTCGAATGGGATCTCCTCCCTTTTCTTGGGATTCTTAAGAGTGACAAATAGGGAGTTGTTTCTGTGTGCAAGAACTACCTGTCGGCAATATTTTAACAGCGATCTGGCAAGACCTCTTCAATGTGAACCATGGAAACTTGCAGCCTATCAGAAATGTTTCTTGTGTGCCATTGGTATGTCTGGTATTTTTCAATATGATACCATTGAACTTGGAAATATTTATTTCTTTGCGGCTGTGCAATGCTCTAAACACAATCTCTTATGTTCTGGGAGTAATACAGTAATTTTAAATAACAGATTACAAACTATGATGGTGCTATTTTTTTTTCTTTCAATTGGATTTGAGCTTTTGGAAAGTTTACCTGGCTCCTGTTGTTTTCATAACGATTTAATTAATCTTTGGGAAATTTACTGTCTTACTTCTTTTCCAGTGGATGGCAGACTTATTAACATTAAGTTAATGTTAACCTATTTGCAATTATTTGAAACTGAGCTGTAAATGCAATAGGAGAAAGCCAACCAGTTTGTACATCAACACTATGACTCTTTGATAACTTTATATTTTAAATCAGTACATAAAAAATGCATTTACTGCAGACCAAACTGTATTTTACAGGAAAATCTTCTTTCTGTATTTCCTCAGGTAATTGCTCTGGTATTAAACACTTCATGTGATACCTTAACTTAGCATATATTTGTGTGTGTGCTTTGGGATTTAAAATATAAAATGACAAGGCACACAGACAGACCATTGCATGTCAAAATTGCAAGTGGATATCTTCACCTTGTAGTCAAAATGTGCACAGAAAACACAGCATTTTTCTTCAGAGGTGTACTCTTGGCTTGGAAGCACGCTTTCCTTTCTAAGTGGAACTTACGTGACATAAACTTGCTCCAAGAATTTCTTTCTAACCCTAAATTCTCCAAGAACTTAGATAGCTAACCCTAAAAATGCCAAGAGGGTGATGTACAGTGCAGGAGGAGGAGGAGGAGTGTGTGTGCTTAAACAGTTTTCCCTATCCACCACTTGTCCTGCAACCCAGCAAACAGACGTTTTTTTTTTTTTATCCATGGCTGAAGAGTACAAGGAAGTTTAACAGGGAAAAACGGTAGAGGAAGCACCTGCCCACCATCTGTTTATTACAAAACACACACTCAACATACCACACTGCAGTTCTTTGGTAGTTATCTGGAATCTCTTATCTAGATTTGTTGCTGAATGAATAGCTTTTGCCAAGGGCAGGTGTCTAAAACCGAACTTAGGTCCATAAACATTCAATTAAAGAAAAATGTTGGTAAGTCACCCTGTCCCCTCTACGTTGTGTGATTGGGCACATGTTCTTGCATGAGGAGTCAACTAAGATGTGCTGTGCATACCCGTTGTATAACAGGGTCCTCCAAAATACCCTAATTATTTTTTAAAAAAAAAACGTGATCAGTATAGCAACCACGCAACTTAGGGTTATAGGACAATAAGCCAGTGCAACCATTTAATCCTTTATCCTTACTATGTGGCATCATAAAGTGACTGAAAATTCTTGCCGTATTGGGAGAAAAAAAAAATCATAGTTTTGGCTTGGTTTCAATTGGACGTTTACATTTTTTTATGCTTTGTGTTGCTGTGTAACTTTTGTACTATTGGTGGCTAGTTTTTGTCTGAATAAGCCTTTCTGGGAATTATTGCTTGTTTTGATTTTATGATAGTGAAGCTTGTATTCAGTGTTCTGCCAATTAATATTATATGCTTGTAATAAAAGCAAAAAAAAAAAGTTATCTGATCTCTTGTTTTTCAACGGTGTGAAAGTAACAGTTGAATCTCTCTTTGTGTTTGCAAATAACTTTGGAATCCAGTACAATGAACATGCTTTAATGGAAGACCTGAAAGACCAGTTTAAGAATAGATTGTCATGTATTTGCCAAGAGCTGATACTGACGTGATGGGACATAATCAATCAATCACAATGAAAAAGCTGCCTGCTAGGCTTGCGGCCTGTGAATCCATTCCATGGCAGGTAGCAGATTTATGTCTCGTGATTCTGTGGGTTTTTTGGTTTCTGAAACTAGGTGTAATCTGTTACCTACATGCATTTGGTTGACTAATGCATTTGGTTTATGAAGATCCAAAAATTAGAACCAGCCTGTCAGCAGACTTCATGACTGCAGTGATTGCAATGCTGGATCTATCCAACCGACTGACCGACCGACCAGTCTATTGCTTCTGTAGTGTAGTATTCACAACTTCTGGAGAATTCACGCACATACATTTATGTCTTGATTCTAATAAAACAGTTGTCCATCTATGGATTTTGAATTTTTATGTCATGGATTAAGTGACTTAACTTAGATATGGAAGAAAGCTAATTATTTTGGTATATGTATACCTTGATTTTGTGATTTATTTATTTTTTACATGAAATCCTACCATCACCATCAAACTAAAGATTGCATTGGTTCCAGAAAACCACATTGTAAAATTCAAGCCACTGGTGATTTTTGATGTCATAGAAATGCATACATGATACATTTTAGAAATATTCCAAGAA